TGGCCTGCTGTGTTCATCCAGCTCTGCACCTTGTTGTCTCGGATTCTCCAGCATCTGCAGTTCCTACTATCTCAGAAAAAGATCATAATAGGGAACCAGGAAATGGCAGAGGCCCTGAATAAACACTCTGAACCAGCCTTCAATGTACAGGATATCAATAGCATTCCAAACAAACTAAACAATTAAGGCTGTATTTGCTGACACCAATGCATACCAGTGCAATATGCCACTTTAAGTCACATGCCTGCAGATTTCAGGTGGGGGTGGAAGGGCTGGGTGACTGGGACGAAGAGACTAGGATGGAGTGGGAAAATCAGGACAGTATGGGATATTGGGTCCAGTGGAGGGGGGGTAGGGGGCTGGGGTGCGGGGGTGCGAGGGAGTCCAATCGGGACTGAGGATAGATCAGAACCTGGTAGGGTTGCGGGTTGGAGTTGGAGGGATCAGGACTGTGGGAGGCGTAGATTGGGACTAGTGGGGAGGGATATAGACAGGTCAAATGACTAGGAAAAAATTGGTTGATTAAATGTAAAGTAGGAAAATGTGAGGTTATGCAGATTTTCAGGAAAGTAGAGCTTAAATTCATTTAAATGGAGAAAGACTGCAGAAAGCTCCATCCCAGGGGTTTCAGGGATCCTTGTGCATTTGTTACAGAAAGCTGGCATTCAAGTTCAGCGGGTTATAGGAAAGGCAAGTAGATTGTCAGTCATTATTTTAAAAGGAATGGAGTATAAACATAGGGAAGTTTTGCTAAAAGCATACAAGGCACAAGTCAGGCTACACCTGGAATACAATGAACAGTTTAGTCCCCACCTCAAAGGAAAGATGTACTGATATTAGAGGCATTAGAAGGTCCATTATGTTGATTCCAATTATGGTGAGATTTTATGATAAGGAGAAGTTGTGTAGGTTGTTCTTGCATTCATTAGGGATTAGAAGAATGAGAGACCGCTTTATTGAAACATGCAAGATTCTTAGGTTGCTTGACAGGGTAGATTTGGTGAGGTCGTTTCCCTTTGTGGGAGAGTCTAGAATCACAGGGCACAATCTCAGAAGAGGGGTTCACACATGTAAGACAGAGATGAAGATGAATTGTTTTCCTCAGCAGGTAGTGAATTTGTGAAATTCTTTGTCGTAGAGGGCTGTTGAAGTTGGATCACTAAGTTTATTCAAGGCTGAAATACACAGATTTTTAATCAGTAAGGCAATCAAGCTTTATGGGAAAAAGGCAGGAAAGTAGAGTCGAGGATTATCAGATCAGCCATGAGATTATTGAATGGCAGAGCAGACTTGATGGGCTTATGATCTTATGTGCTAAGAATTGTGTTTAAGTTTTAGTAAACAATGTAGCTTTGAAAGAGTGAAAAAAACTCACAAATGTTATAATTTGACAACAAAATGAAAACACACACATTCATTGCTGTGTCTTCAGTATCGTGGGACAGAGGTAGAAGGAAGGATATGTTACTCTTATCGTACTGACCCTGTGCATTGGTACAGTATAACAATCTTCTAATTAAGTGATGCACATGCAAAATATGAGGATTGACTGTGAAACATAGTTATACACATCTGACGTTTTGTAACATCACTTCAAGCGTAATAATTATTTTTTGATCTTGTGCCATTTCAGGTGAGGATCAGGTCAATCAGAAGGATTACTATGGCAAGAGCCCCCTCTACTGGGCTGCATACAAAGGGCAGCGAGCTTGCATCAAGTTACTGCTGGAACATGGTGCTGATGCCAACAGCCAGTGTAAACATGGAGCCACTCCACTCCATGCTGTAATTGGTCTATTTCCTGATTGTGCTCTGCTTCTCATACAGGTTAGCGCTCTGGCATGGTACTGAGCACGTCTTTATGGACTACAAATAATCAGCAAACTGAGGCTGAAACTTTCGCGAATCAGGAATTAGTCTGAGAAAATAGTAACTGTTTGGTTCAGGCCTTTTAAAAAAAACCCTGCAGCCACAAATTTGGCCTGAATGTTTCACAATATCAAACCACAGTGGTAAGATATGAGTTGGTGCTGTGATGCTCCAAGTGGTTGGTTTCCCATGCCATTTTGCTATTTTTGAGACTGAAAGAGTACAGTTCCCTATGAGAAAGTAAGTCAGACTGCAGTCCCAGCCTCACCATAAAACCCGCGGACAAGGGAGGCGCAGATGTAGTATGGCGCACTGACCTCTACATCGCCTAGGCCAGACGCCAACTCTCCGACACCCCCTCCTACCGCCCCCTTGATCATGACCCCACCCCTGCGCACCAAACCATCATCTCCCAAACCATCCACAACCTCATCACCTCAGGTGACCTCCCATCCACGGCCTCCAACCTCATCGTTCCCCAACCTCGCACTGCCCGCTTCTATCTCCTTCCCAAAATCCACAAACCTGAATGCCCTGGTCGACCCATTGTCTCCGCCTGCTCCTGCCCCACCGAACTGATCTCCAACTATCTAGACTCCATTTTCTCCCCCTTGGTCCAGGAACTCCCTACCTATGTCCGTGACACCACCCACGCCCTCCACCTCCTCCAGAACTTCCAATTCCCCGGTCCCCAACACCTCATCTTCACCATGGACGTCCAGTCCCTCTACACCTGCATTCCCCATGCAGATGGCCTTAAGGCCCTCCGCTTCTTCCTGTCCCGCAGGCCCGACCAGTCCCCCTCCACTGATACCCTCATCCACTTAGCTGAACTCGTCCTCACACTCAACAACTTCTCTTTCAATTCCTCCCACTTCCTACAGACAAAGGGGGTAGCCATGGGTACCCACATGGACCCAAGCTACGCCTGCCTCTTTGTAGGTTACGTGGAACAATCCCTCTTCCGTACCTACACCGGCCCTAAACCCCACCTCTTCCTCCGTTACATTGATGACTGTATCGGCGCCGCCTTGTGCTCCCACGAGGAGCTTGAACAGTTCATCCACTTCACTAACACCTTCCACCCCAACCTTAAGTTTACCTGGACCATCTCTAACACCTCTCTCCCCTTCCTGGACCTCTCTGTCTCCATATCGGGCAACCACCTAGAAACCGATATTCATTTCAAGCTCACCGACTCCCACAGCTACCTAGAATACTCCTCCTCCCACCCACCTTCCTGCAAAAATGCTATCCCCTATTCCCAATTCCTTCGCCTCCGCCGCATCTGCTCCCAGGATGAGGCATTCCACTCCCGTACATCTCAGTTGTCCTCGTTTTTCAAGGACCGTAACTTCCCCCCCTCAGTGGTCGAGAATGCCCTCAACCGTGTCTCCCACATCTCCCGCAACTCATCCCTCACACCCCGTCCACGCAATAAGAACCAAAAAAGAATCCCCCTCGTCCTCACGTACCACCCCACCAACCTCTGGATCCAACGCATCATCCTCCGACACTTCCGCCATCTGCAATCCGACCCCACCACCAAAGACATCTTTCCCTCCCCACCCTTATCTGCTTTCCGGAGGGACAACTCTCTCCGTGACTCCCTTGTCCGCTCCACACTCCCCTCCAGCTCCACCACACCCGGCACTTTTCCCACAACCGCAGGAAGTGCTACACCTGCCCCCATACCTCCTCCCTCACCCCCATCCCAGGCCCCAAGAAGACTTTCCACATCAAGCAATGTTCACCTGCACATCTGCCAATATGGTATACTGCATCCGCTGTACCCGGTGTGGCTTCCTCTACATCGGGGAAACCAAGCGGAGGCTCGGGGACCGCTTTGCAGAACACCTATGCTCGGTTCGCAATAAACAACTGCACCTCCCAGTCGCGAACCATTTCAACTCCCCCTCCCATTCCTTAGACGACATGTCCATCCTGGGCCTCCTGCAGTGCCACAACGATGCCACCCGAAGGTTGCAGGAACAGCAACTCATATTCCGCTTGGGAACCCTGCATCCCAATGGTATCAATGTGGATTTCACAAGTTTCAAAATCTCCCCTCCCCCTACCGCATCCCAAAACCAGTCCAGCTCGACCCCGCCTCCCTAACCTGTTCTTCCTCCCACCTATCCCCTCCTCCCACCTCAAGCCGCACCTCCATCTCCTACCGACTAACCTCATCCCGCCCCCTTGACCTGTCCGTCCTCCCTGGACTGACCTATCCCCTTCCTAACTCCCCACCTACACTCACCTTTCCTGGCCCCATCCCCGCCTCTTCGACCTGTTTGTTTCCTCTCCACCTATCCTCTCCTCTATCCATCTTCTATCTGCCTCCCACTCTCTCCCTATTTATTTCAGAACCCCCTTCCCCTCCCCCTTTTCTGATGAAGGGTCTAGGCCCGAAACGTCAGCCTCTCTGCTCCTATGATGCTGCTTGGCCTGCTGTGTTCATCCAGCCCTGCACCTTGTTGTCTCAGAATGGACATAACCAGTTTAATTCTTCAGTGAAGAGATCTTGTGATGCAGTGGATAGTGTCCCTGCCTCTGAGCCAGAAGTTCTAGGTTCACGTCCCACTCCAGAACTTGACTGCCATGGAGTTTGTGTCGTAACTTGGCCAAACAGGTTGAACGTTAAATTGTAAATCCTTCCAAAGATGACATAGGTAGATGGTAACAGTGGAGTAAATTCCTGGTTAGCTGCATACTGGAAAGGAACTGGGGACTCTACCATCACAATCCATAGCTCCAGGCTAAAACATGCAAGTAAGATTGTATGTTTCCATAGCAATTCTGACTCCTTGCACAGTTTGACCAGTTCAGTTGGTAGGACAGCCATTGTGGATCAAATTGGTTTCTCAGTTCTATCCTCATCTCTGGCTGCATTGGACCTGCTTCCTTGGATCTACATAAGGTGGAGGTTGGAGCACTGAGTTCCACAAAGAAGAACAGGACTCCCCTACAACATTTAACAACTGATAATGCTTGGGAACACATTGTCTGCTCAGATTTTCAGTTGGGGTCAGTGTGTTATCCAGGGATATCAAAGAAGAGGGTAAAATGATAAAAGTCCATAGTGGAAGAAATTCAAAAGGACGTGAACACATTGTAATCTTTTCAACATGTAACCACCTGCAAGAAATTTTTAAAAGATCCATTATATCTCATAGATTTAGCATCAAGCTTTTCCTCCCCATCTTTTCTCTATTTCAGAATGGAGCAGATGTAGACCTTCCTGACAACTGGGGTGTAACCCCCATGTACTTGGCTGCCTGTAGTGGACAACTTGACTGTTTGCGACTGCTTGTCCTGTCTGGAGCAAAAATCACTTACAGAAATAAGGTATGGGGAAAAAAAAGAAGCATTGGTACATCAGCAGCATCAGGCAACATGAGGAGTTCTGAGGAAGGGTCACTGGACCCGAAATGTTAACTCTGCCCATAGATGCTGCCAGACCTGCTGAGCTTTTCCAGCAGTTTCTGTTTTTGTTCATGACCATGAGATGGACCTCAAATGTATGAAATCATGTAAAACTGGTGACAAGTCAGCAGTCTATTTTGCATCTCTCCTGACTTTTGTTTTCAGTAATTTCAAAATTTAGCCTACCTCATACAGACAATTTCACAAATAAAAAATATGGGTGTTGCTGAGAAATCACACACCTTGTTGAAACTTTTTTTGTCTTCCACCTATCAGGACAATTTGCAAGAATGCTAGAGTAAATAGGAACAAGATGTTTATACTGTTTAAGAAGGACCCACTGATTGGTAAATGAACTCTGAATGACAGAGGCATTGCCAACTAATCACTTGTCAGAGTTCCACTGAAAACAAATCAGCATTCTCTTCTCACACATTGTAAAAACATTGTTCCCCTTTATATAGATATTCTTGCAAATTGCCCTGATCTGTACAAGATGAAAAGCTGCACTATAATGTTATAAAGCGGAGGTTGATGCCCCTCTGAGAACTAACACCGAAACACCCAAAGAGGAGCACCACATCCCATAATATGTAAAATGAGTGTGAAAAATAGTGTAACCTGTTCTTCAGCAACTTCTAGTGGTTAAATAAAATAAATCCCTGACACTCACTTTAAAATCAACAAGTAACAATTTATTTATTGAACTCTAACAGTAAACAAATTAACTATACTATTACCAAATTGAATAAATACCTTCTAACTACTAAATATTCCTGAATAAAACAAGAACCTAATGGTATGCTGTTCCAATAAGTGTAAGTCCCACTGATACAAAATAAAATAGAAATTAGTCTTTCAAAATTATAGCCAGATTACGTGTCTTCTGAAATGTTCTATGCCTTCTCCATCAATTTCTCATTCAGGAATATTCACGAGATGTGCCTTTGATACCTTTGTTATTTAGATGGTGCTTTCTCTAAAACTTAGGGAAAACCGTGAAAGCCAGCAATTCTCTCTTGAGAGCTGAGGGCTGTTAGCTCTGGTGGATGGCAGTTATCTCTGCTGTCTTTGTCCAACAGCCCCTTTGTTTTATCCCTTGATGAACATATCAGTTTCTTACAATAGGATTGGTCCTATGTTGTCAAAACCATCTGATTTAAATTCAGTTGGCTTTTGGTATCTAAGTGCCTGGTTCAAATTTATTGGCTAAATTCAAAACTTGTTGTCAATGCAAAAACAGCTGCTTTGCCTGCTAACTGTATAGCCTTCAATGCAACTTCACAACATCTCCCTCCTTAAGAAAAAAATGAACGGCTATTAAGAAAAGATAGCTTCATTTTTCTTTTAAAACCTTAACTCTATTATATTGCTGGATCCCATAGCTCATTAATGTAGAGTTACACATTTCATATTTATTCTGTATATATATAGAATTGAATACTAGCATTTCTATCTTATATAAATATTTTTCTTTTAAACTCACGATAAAGCATCTGCAATAATATTTTTATGACCCGCAACATGTGCAATCTATAAATTACATGCTTGTAACATGAGATTCCCATGAAATAATCTGGTGTTCTTGTCATTAAATCTTTCCAGAAAAGCCAAAGTATTGTGATCGGTATACACAACTGTCTCTGATGCATTGTTTGCAAACTCAATAACTCATTTTCAATGGTTGAATATTTTTTCTGGTGGATATTGAGTTTTTTTGAAAAATAACGAATTGGTCTTTCAATTCAACAATCACCCTCCTGTAATAACACAGCTCCAACACCTACATTGCTTGCATTGATGGCAACTTGGAAGGGTTTCAAAAAAGTTGACTAAAACTGGTGCAGTGTTAACACCGCTTTCAAATTCTCAAACGTCTCCTGACATTTTTCTGTCCACTGAGATTTCGTGTTCTTTTTTAACAAATCCATCAACGGTGTGACTATGCTACTAAAGCTTGGTACAAATTTCCTGTAGAATCTGCTCAAACCTAAAAATTGGATCACTTCCTTCTTTGAGGATGGTGTTGGAAATTCCTCAATGGCCTTCTTCTTCAGGTTCCTCGGTGTCATCCATCCAATATTGTGCCCTAAGAATGTCACTTCCGCCTTCATGAATTCTGTTTTTGCCAAGTTTATGACCAACTTTGCCTTCCGTAGCCTCTCAAAGACCTCTGCCAAATGCTCCATGTGCTCTTTCCACCAATGGCTAAAGATCACTAGGTCATCTAAGTAGATGGCACAAGTAGTCAATTCTGCAACAACTCTGTTCATAAGCCTTTGAAAAGTGGCTGGTGCATTTTTCATTCCAAAGGGCAATACTTTAAATTGATATAGTCCATTTGGGGTGACAAAGCAGAAACTTCTTTTGTTCTGACCGACAAGTTACTTGCCAGTATCAACGAAGTAAGTCCAAATTTATGATGTAAGTGGTTTGTCCTACTTTTTCTACACAATCCTCCAACCTTGGAATTGGGTATGAGTCAGATTTGGTTGCAGCGTGACCTTCCGATAATCTATGCAGAATCATTGAGTACCATCAGGTTTGGGAACCAACATGATTGGTGAACTTCACTCACTTTGATTCATCTCTATGATGTCTTCTTGGAGCATTGCTTCCACTTTCTTCTGAACTTGCGCTACTTTGAGAGGGTTAAGGCTGTAGTTTGTTGTTTTATCAGAACAACATTCCCTACGTCTGCTCATGTACTATGGCATTCGTCCTCCCCATTCTATTCCTACATAGGTCCTCATAGCACTGCAACAAGTCGTTCAATTCAGTTCTGTGTTCCTGGAACAGATAGCACACTACCCTATCCCATTCCTTAAGGACTTCATCTTTATTCAGTTTATTCTGAGGCAAATCAAAATCCAAATCATCTGGATTTGATTCCTCACTCTGAGTGGCAGTAACTAATACCGTTCCCTTTCCTTGTCACAGTAATGTTTCAGCATGTTTGTTCACATGACATACCCGATAAGTTTTTTCCTTTATGGCATCTTTATCAGATAATTCACCTGACTTAACTTCTTCTCAATCTGATAGTGATCACTATAACTTGCTTTGAAGGGATCTCCTACCATTGATAACAGCACCAATGCTTTATCCCCAAACGTACGAATTGTGGATTTCTTATCTACTTCTTGCTTCATGATGTGCTGTGCCATCTTCAAATGTTTTCTAGCTAATTCAGCTACTCTGTTTAATCTTTCTCTCACCTCAGATACATAATCCAGCTGTGAGATCTCTGACTTCGGACCTATCAACTTTTCCTTAATTAATTTTAAGGCCCTCTCACTCCATATCCAAATATCAATTCAAATGGAGTAAACTAAGTCAGTTCATTTGGAGCATCTCTAATAGCAAATACCTTTGTCCCAATCATTTGGGTAATCCTGGCAATAAGCCCTCAGCATTGTCTTTTGGGTCTGACGCCACCTTTCCAATGCTCCCTGGGTTTCAGGATGGTGCGTACTTGATTTAAAGTGTCTGATGCCTAAATTTAACATGACCTCCTTAAATAATTTGGCACTAAAATTAGACCTTTGATCTGACTGAATCTCCCTGCGTAGTCCCTAATGGGTAAAGAAAGCAAGCAACTCCTCCACAACTTTTTTTTTGCCTTGACATTCCGTAATGGAATTGTCTCCGGAAACCTGGTAGGCACATCCATTATGGTTAGCAAATACTGGTTCCCACTGGTTTTAGGGAGGGGACGTACACAAACAAACATAACCCGTGTAAAAAGTTCTTCAAACGCAGGAATGAGCATCAAAGGTGCTGGCTTAATTACTGCCTGTGGCTTTCCTACTATCTGCCAGATACGACAGTTATGGCTAAACTCAACCACATATTTATGTAATCCAGGCCAATAGAAATGCTGCTGTATCTTAGCCTGAGTCTTCCTCACTCCTAGATGACCTCCTACAGGCAATTCATGTGCTACCCACAATGCTTCCTGTCTGTATTCTACCAGCAACACAATCTGGTGAACTTCCATTTCTCATCTGCACTAACCTGCCCAGGTCTCCATTTCCACCTTAAGATTTTATCCTTAAGATAATAACATTCTGGAATACATTTTGATTCCTTTTCTGAATAGGTTTTATGATATAAATCTGTTATCATCTCATCTTTTTGTTGTAACTTCATTAATCTTTCAGAACGAAACACCTCTGCCTGATCCTCTACCTGCTTTGGTTTTTCCTTTACCGTTTCATTAAACAAAGTGTCAGTTAACTGGACCTCAACTCCTTCATCTTTCTCTTCTGTTTTTCCTACTTATTTTAACTTGGAATTGGGATCTTGTCACCACACAGTCCAGAAAATTTCCAGGGTATTTTTCTTTTAACTCCTCAGTTCGCTGCTTTTCTTTTGGCTTTTCCACTACAATGGGCATCAGTCCCACCTGTGGTCCAGCAATATCATTTCCAGGAACAAACTGTATTCCTGGAATAACCACTCTTTCCATCACTCTCACTATCACCTCCCCAGGCTTGATTGGATTTTCTAGCCTTATCTTACACGGGGAGCACTAATTCTCTCTCCATTTATTCCACAGATTAGCATCCTCTTGGGGAATATTTCAGAAGGAGTGTAAATATTTTCATCTCTTACTATTAGAGACTGACTAGCTCCTGTATCTCTCAACATTTTAACTTCTTTACCTACTCCCCCTGTTCTACCTGAGTAAATCTTACCCAAGATCAGGTGCTATCTTCCTCTCCAACCGTGACTAGGCTGTGGACTCTCCTGCAGCTCCTCAACTTCCCTTAGGATTTCCTTCAGTACCTCAACTAATCCTGCTGGTTTAGCCTCTTTTACCGCATCTTTTTTCCCAGTGCCGCTCTTAATCCATCAGCACCGAGACTTTGTGAGTCCGACTTTATTGCAGTGAAAACACCTGAGGTCTTTCACCACTTTTCCACCCTCTTGGGTTTCTTTATTCACATGTGGTAAACTGTTCCCAGTGTGATCTACTTTTCATTTTTCATTGAAAGATCTCCCTCTTTCCCAATTTCTATCCCTCATGGAATGAAATTGCTGTCGGAAGCTAGATTTTGATTTATGCGCTAAAGCATATTCATCCACCATCTCTGCAGCTCTTCTCGCTGTTTTAACTTTCTGTTTGTCAACATGAGTTCTGATCATTTCTGGAAGTGAGTTTTTAAACTCCTCCAGCGGAATAATATCTCTAAGTCTGTGTCTTTTCTATCTTTAATGCTCTCATCCATCTATCAAAGTTGTTCTGTTTAATTCTTTCAAACACAGTACAAGTCTGACCTGGTTCCTTTCTTACATTTCTGAAACATTGTCTATGTGCATGTGGTGCCAATTCGTAAGCACTCAAAACAGCCTGTTTAACTTCTTCAGACTCTCCTGACACCTCCAGTGACAGCTCTGCAAACACCTCACTAGCCCTGCCTACCAATTTAGACTGAATTGACATTACCTACATGGTCTCTGACCAGTTCACTTGGTTAGCCAATTTCCCAAAGGAAATAAAAGAAGCTTCTATATGTTTTTCATTGAATTTTGGTAATGTTTGAACATATTTGTATTATATCCCTACTAGGCCTTTGGCCACAATGGGTTTGCTCATATTCACTCTCCTCCTCACTAAGACTACCTTGAAACTTTATCTTCATCCTTTTAAATTGACTTTCCTGTCTATTTGCCAACTTCCGAAGTTCAAACCATGTTTTTTTTTGTTCTCCTAGGGCAATTCTTTTCTTTTCTTTTTCCTTTTCCAGGGAATTCTTTCCTTTTTTCCTTCTTCTGCTCTTAATGGTAATTCAAACTGTTTCAGTCCCCTTTCCCTTTCTTTGTCTTCAAACTCCAGTTGTTTTGTTTGCATTTTAATTTTTTCTAACTCTGCTACACTTGACTGTTTCTCTGATATACCTAAATGCTTGGCTAACTCTGTTATGATTTCAGCTTTCCTATTACCCCTAGCTAAACCCAATTTTAACCTGTCTGCTAATTTAAAAGTGTCTCCCTTCTCTGTCTTTCTAAATTTTCTTGGCAAGTTTGGGAAGTACCTTTGAACCCTAGAAATTCTTTAGCAACATTAAGAGCCATTTTCCCACTTTTGATTTAACCAACAACAAGCAACTGAAATTAAACAGATTTTCCACTTCTCACGTAAGTTTTATTTAAACATCTAGAGCACTAGTCCCCAAGTCTGTTAAAATCTGTTCAGATCTGTCCAAACCTGTTCAGGCCCTTTCAGATCCATCCAAATCCTGGACAAGAACCGCCAAACTGTTATAAAGCGGAGGTTGACCACCCGCTTTGAGAACTAACACCGAAACACTCAAAGAGGAGCACCTTTCCCCAAAATCTGTGAAAGGATGTGAAAAGTAGTGTAACCTGTTCTTCAGCAACTTCTAGTGGTTAAATAAAATAAATCCCTGACACTCAGGTTAAAATCAACAAGTAACAATTTATTTATCTAACTGTAACAGTAAACAAATTAAATATACCATTAACAAGCTGAATAAATTCATTCTAACGACTGACTATTCCCAAATAAAACAAGATTCTAATGCTATGCTGTTCCAATAAAGACAAGTCCCACTTATATAAAATGAAACAGAACTTAGCCTCTTGAAATTACAGCCAGGTTACTTGTCCTCTGGAATGTTCTGTGCCTTCTCTGTCAATTCTTCTGTCAGGAATGCCTTCTCTGTTGATTCCTCATTCAGGAATATTCACTAGTTGTGCCTTTGGTACCGTTGTTATTTAGATAGTGCTTTCTCTAAAACTTAGAGGAGACTGTAAGAGCCAGTGATTCTCTCTTGAGAGCCGAGGGCTGTTAGCTCTGGCGGATGGCAGTTAGCTCTGCAGTCTTTGTCCAACTGCCCCCTTCTTTTATACCCTTGATGACATGTCAACTTCTTACAGTAGGATTGGTCTTATGTCGTCAAAACCATCAGATTTAAATTCAATCGGCTTTCGGTATCGAAGTGCCTGATTCAAATTTATTGACTAAATTGAAAACTTGTTGTCAATATTAAAAACAGCTGCTTGGCCTGCTAACTGTGCAGCCTTTTGGTACAAATGATGAAATTCAGGTGCTCTCTGTGTACTTGCAAACTTTCAAGCTGCTGCTCACAGACATCCATTTTAAATCTCTAAGCAAAGAAAAAGCACATGATCTTTTAAAGGTGCCACACATTGCTTTCCCCTCTCGCATTTTACAAACATTTTACAAATTTTAGTTTCCTGCCTCCCAATGCATAAGTGCTGTACCCAACTTCGCAATAGTAACGTGTCTTTTCTCGGCAATACCCATGTTCTGTAATGTTAATGTCTATATATAGATAGACTAATTCTTACATGGAATTAATTGCAGTCAAATGGATTGTTTAATAAGTAACATCGTCTCAGACCTAAAATAATAATTGATTTTAATTTTCTCTATTTACCTTGAAACTGTGGAATGGTTGAGTGCTTTCCTTCCTCAGCCAATCTGTGCCAAGGATTTTATAAGGAAAACAGGCAACTTCATTTTGAATGCAAGCTATGGCAATATATTTCTGTGCAGAATGAGGGGGGAGAGCACAGATAAAATTTCCTTCCAAGCCTTTTCCCATTTCTGTCATCTAATTATCATGATTCTAGTTTAATGCTGTATCTAAATAATGGTGACACTACATAAAATATGCTTGCATTTATATACTTCCTTTCACAACCTTAGGATATCCCCAAGTGCCTCAGCGCTGATTGAGTATATCTGGTGCCTAGTGACTGCTGTAAATTAAGGGACATAACAGCCATTTTTAGTTGCAATGAAGTTCCACAAACAGGTAACTTGTTTTGGTAACATCAGTTATCATTTGGTAAAACCAAATATAAGTATTTGCCACAATTATTTTGAATCATAGAATCCCTACAATGTGGAAGCAGGCCATTCAGTCCATGGAGTCCACGCTGACTCTCCAAAGAACATCCCATCCAGACCCACCCCTATCCCTGTAACCCTGCATTTCCCATGAGTAATCCACCCAGCCTGCATATCCTTGGCACTACTGGACAATTTAGCATGGCCAATCATCTATCCTGTACATCTTTGGACTGTGGGAGGAAAATTGGAGCAGCCGGGTAAAACTCACAGAGATACAATGAGCAAACTCCACACAAACAGCCACCCGAGGGTGGAATTGAACCCGGGTTCCTGGTGTTGTGAGGCATCAGTGCTAACTACTGAGCCACCATGCCACCCCTTTTGAGTAATTTTGAGTAATGATATGAAAAAGAATTTTAAAAGTGCTCTGAATTGTAGCTCAGGAATGTGCTGTCATATTGAGTTTCTGAACTCAAACATGGTGTGTAGAGGGATCAGAAAATCCTACCTGGCAGCCAAAAGTGCCAAGGGCAGTAGCTCAAGAGCTGGCAACTTTATCCATTTTACAGAGGGACTTGGTACCTCTTAATAAATGTTATATTTTGGCAGATCATATGGTTTCAAATTCTATTTCAATTTTATGTAATACAAAATTTCTTAGTTATTCCAATTACTAAAATGGTTGCTAGCCACAATTTGGTTCTTCTTTGTCACAATGCTCACTCAATCAGTTTGCAACAAAAGGAAACTTTTTTGTACATTCACTCATGGGATGAGGGCGTTGCTGGCTAGGCCAGCATTTATTGCCCATTCTTAATTACCCAGAAGGCAGTTAAGAGTCAACCACATTGCTGTGGGTCTGGAGTCACATGTAGGCCAGACCAGATAAGGATGGCAATTTCCTTCCCTAAAGGACATTAGTGAACCAGATGATGTTTTCTGAAAATCAACAACAGATTTAATTCAGAATAGACATTTAATTTCAGATTTTTAAAAATTTAATTCAAATTTCACTGTCTGCCATGGTGGGATTTGAAACCAGGTCCCCAGAACATTACCTGGGTCATCAGTAAATTGATGGTTGTACCAGAAAACAGAAGCGATACTTTATAGAAGTGAAAGCAAATTACTGCGATGCTATAAGTCTGAACTAAAAATAGAAAGTGCTGGAGAAACTGACAGCATATATGAAGAAGGGCACACACTTTTAATTGGAGAATGGACTATCTTTGAATAAAAGTGATATGCATGTAATTAAGGTATATCCTTTCTTAATAGAATGTACCTTCATTAATCTTTAGATTTGCAAATTAATAGAAGTTAAAAAAAGTAAGTATTCTTCTGAAATGTGTTGCCGTTACAGCTTCAAAATTCATTTTCCAGTGATATCACATTGTCCCTTTGGCTTTAGATTGCAGAGTCACTAGCGCTAAGTTTACATTTTTAAGTTGTGATCCACTGAGCTACGGCTCAAAAGCAGTGACACTTTGAAGTGTGTTATTATTTCAGAACACCGGAGAGGCCCCTAAACAGTTGGCTTCCAAGACCACCTTCCTGTCCTGGATAGACGGGTATCAGAAGAACCCACTATCATTAAAGCAAACCTGCCGGCTGAAGATCCGTGAGTTGATTGGCTATCGGAGGCTACATGCCATCAGGACTCTTGACATCCCACAGTCACTGAAAAATTACCTTATGTTTGAGGACCTGACATTGTACAATTCTGCATCAGAAGTTACTTCAGTGTAACCCTGTACACCCCTCTCTTCAACATCCAACATTGTTTTGCAGTTACATCAGTGCCAGATTCCATGCCCTTTTCAAGTGCCTGCTTTTTTTTTCAGTAGTTCGTCGCCCATGAGCTGAGCTCTGTTCAAATGCTGCTGAGCAGGTTTCGATTTCTTTCTTTTCATTTGTTTGAAGGGTTAGTACATTATAAACAATTTCTTGATTGTTTCAAGCTGAAAAATGGACACAAAACAACAATTTAGTCTTTTTTTCCTGATTTAATAATAATTTTGGGAAGCCTACGATAGAAATCAATTGTGGAACAGAGTAACTGTTACCACAGAATTTCAGTAAATGGAAGTGAGACAAAGAATGGTATTTAAAGACTGTTTGGAGATTAATCCATTTACATTGTAGAACCATGCAGATTCAGTGAGGACTATGTCATTCTTCTCCTAATAAGCTTATAGTGTCTCAACAGTTCCCTCATGAATACAGTTTGACAGATAGGATTACAAAATTGAATAAGTAAGCTTTTATTAAAAGTTGGAATAAATATTATTGGTTGGTTGACATTCTCCCACTAACAGCTGATGGGAATACATCTTCAAAAACTTTGATGAGGTCAGATTACATCACTTCATTTGATAGCTGAACAAGCTGATTCTTTAACGTTAAATTCTGTTGCAGTTACCACACATGAAGTTATCCCTTGCCAGTTGTGAAGGATGCTCTCTGCTCATGCCTAGTTTACAGGGCTAGTGACACTTTGGAGCTTCTGAAATCACATGTTGTGGTGGCAAATTCCTGTCCATAACTGGTGTCTACATTGACAATTGAGCATCAGCTAGAGTTTCCCACTTGTTGTGATTGATGTTGAGGGCTTTCAAGTCAATGATAGCATCCTTGAGTCACAGCTTTGTGTTCCCTACTGGCCTCTTGGCATGAGCTACCTCCTTGGGTAACATCACTGATGAACTTGTGTAGCTCACAGTCACTCAATGCTATCTAGAGAGGTGAGTTGAATTATTCTTACTATTCTCCTCTTCCATCCATAACTGAAGTGGCTTTTAATTGCCTTTTCTATTTTTCTTTTCGCTTTTAGAAATAAGCAGTAATGTGTTTGCCCAAACCTTGTTTGTGAGGTCCAGTTTAAAAATAACGTGCAGCAAATTCTTTAGGTTTGAATACAAAGTAGACTTTACTAGAGTATTCAAAACCCAGGGAAATGGTTCACAACACATTCACACGTGAGAAAGGAAATAGGCTACAAATTACAAATTACTTAAAATCAAAGACATTGGAATTAGTTCACATGAATGAGAGAGTTCGTTAAGTCAGTATCCAGTGGAAGTTATTTCAGTGGCTGTGCACAGATGTTCTATTTACAAAAGCACTAACCAGCCAAATAGCTAGTGAAGGCAAAGTAGTTATAAGCTGGAAAGTGGTTCACTTCGCATGTGAAATAAAGGATTCTTTCCAGAAATCAGACTTTTGAGACAGGTAGAGATCAGATTCACCCATTAGTAAGTTTGGAACTGCTTACTGTTCTGGTGTTACAAGCAGACTGGAGAAAGGATTAAGAACTGTGTATTAATGATGTTCAAACAAACTAGCACTTTCAGTCATGCAACTTGGATTTCTATCTTAGTTATTCAGCTAATGAGTTGGGTTTTTATATCCAGGCCTAAAACTCTTGTGTTTGGTATCAAATAACAATGATCACCTAGTTGAGCAATAAGGCATTTCAGTGGTCACCTTGACCAATAATGTAAGCTTTTGTCCACTGACTTCTGCTGATCCGAACTTTCCAGAAATTGTGGTCAACTGGCATCATGCAATTAGTGGTAGCTATGTTGTCACTCCAGCTAAATGTCCATTTCAAAAATAGATGATTTTAAACAGGATGAAAACAAAAGATCTCTCTTCTGCTGCAAGTCCTCATGCAAGTCAGGGCATGTTGTTCTGAAGATCCAGCTTCCAAGGCTCAATTGTTTCTTGAGTACCTAGTAACCACCTGCTGGTTGGGATATGATCCCTAATCCTCATGTAGTCAGAGAGAAAGCTAGTCATTGCTGAGTCAGTACCTTATAGACTGGATTTCAGAACTTGATGCTGGCAGTGACTGATTTTATCCACAGATAAATCAAAGACATTGGCATTAAAATCAAAGACATTGGAATTAGTTCACATGAATGAGAGAGTTCATTAAGTCAGTATCCAGTGGAAGTTATTTCAGTGGCTGTGCACAGATGTTCTATTTACAAAAGCACTAACCAGCTGAGGTTCCCCAATTTGATATGGTTCTGGATAGGATATCCCAAATTGTTAAGATCCCAAATAAGAAGAGGTGAACTTGCTCCCCATCTTTGTTTACCCATCGACTTATTGGTCACAAAATGATTTAAAAACAGATCACTTTCCCTGTTGATACCTTTCTCCCAGATCCAAATGATCTTATGCTGTAAAAAGAGCTAATGTAACCAGTCATTCGTGAGTCAACAAAGAGTGAGTTTTCTAATTCTTCCAACATTTAGTAATTAATAATGCAACATATGTACACAGAGACTTCAAACAAAGGGTAAGTCCAAAAAGATAATTAAAAAAAGAGAATAGTTGAAAGTTACAGCCAATGCAGTCGAGGATACTGATCACATTGATGTTGGTAGTTGAACAATCAATTTCAATAATCTTAGTTTTGTAGATTGGTTGAGATTCTGTTGTTCTGGTTCCCTTTGACCACGACTGAATTCGGCATTCAGAGTGAGACAGGTTCCTTTTGTTGTCCAGAATCCTTTTATCTGGTTTTCTAGCTAGCTGACTTCTAGCACTCAGAGTAATAGAGTCCCTTTACCTGCAACTCTGGGTAACTCTTGTACTCACAAACTCAATCTAACACGTGATATCCTTAACCCACTAGCGCACAGAGAACCTCAATCCCACCAGCACAGTCCAGTAGCATTGAAGCTGGCTTTTTAACCCTGTCCGTTTGTTTGTTCAAAGGGAAAAAACACAAAATGTGTTTGCAGTTCAGGACATAATCCACAGGAGGTGACTTGTTGTTGAAGAGATGGTCATTAATCACTCGTTATCTTTGTAGTCATAAAAGATTACAGTTTAGTTTTTTGACTTGCTTCTTCCTTCTATGAAGAGTTGTTGTTTGAAGTTCCCTTTGATCCTTTAGGTGTGACATTCGATGAGACTGTCTCTCTCTCTCTCTCACCCAACAGTCACTTAATTTACATCCACAGCTATCTTTCACTGTATCAGCCTTCTTTTAAAAACAGATTTGGAATTACAAGTTAAGAATGTCCGCAGTATGTCAGCGTTCTGACCCATGGTCATGACACTGAACAATAAAATACAATGGCTGTTACCATCATTGGAGACAACCCATGGAACCTTCTACTTTTGCCAATAGAGTTGGATTTTCCATTTGATATTTGGCTACATGATCTGTGTAGAATTAGGAGACACAGACTTGCCAGCAAGTGCATCTCCCTCTCAACCTTATGAACTAAAACTGGAGAAAAAGCACAAGCCCTATGCCTGAAGCTCACGCAATGGCAGGACACCAAGAAGATCAGAAGGATCTCAGAATGCTTGTTCACAGATCCCCGAAGGCAGCAGAATAGGTTAATAGGGTAGGTTAACAGGGTGGTTTATCAGACATGGCATAGATTAAAAGAGCAGGGAGATCACGTTGGAGTGTACAAGAATTTTGCTAGGCCCCAGCTGGACTACAGTGTGCAGTTCTGGTGACTACACTATAGGAAGGATGTGATTGCACAGAATGGGGTGCAGAGGAGATTCACGGGGATGTTGCCTGGATTAGAGAAATTGAACAATGAAGAGAGGCTGGATAAGCTCATGTTGTTTTCTTGAGAACAGGGAAGGCTGAGGGTGTCCCGATTGAGGTCTATAAGATGATGAGGGGCTGGGACAGAGTGCATAGAAAGAGTGGATAGTTGAAGGGCCAATAATGAGGGACTATAATTTAAAGGAAAAAAACAGGATGTTTTGAGAGGATTTAAGGAATTTTTTTTATCCAACTGATGGTGAAAATTTTGGAACACATTGCCTGGGACAGAGTAGAGACAGGAAGCTTCGCAACCTTTAAAAATTACGTATTGAGTGTATTGTTAGGCTGAAAGTACCTAACGGGCAAGAACACTGTCCCCAGCATGGTTCAGCTGGACACTGTCCCATTAGTACAGAACCTACTTTATCCAGTACTGGTGCCAGTACCCCACAAACTGGAACCCACATTTCCTTATCAGTCTTTAAGCCATGCATTCATCTCTCTAATCTGATTTGCCCTATGCCAGTTTGTCTGTGACTCGGGTAATAATACAGACATTATCACTTTTGAGGTTCTGCTTCTGACTATGTTGAACTGCTTCTTTGTCCTGTCTATGTCACTGGTGGTTTACAATGATTGGATCCTTCTCCTTCCAATGTAATTTCCTCCCTACCCCTGAGCTAATGTCCTGAACACTGGCACTGGGCAGGCAACACAACCATTTGGACTCATGCTCTTTGCCGAAGAGAATGGTGTTAATTCACCTTCATTATACTGTCCTCTACCACCACTACATTCTTTCTTACTCTACCCTCTTGAATGGCTTCCTCTACCATGATGCCATACTCAGTTAGTACATTCGCCCCACAGCTGTGTCATCCAGCCAAGCTAAAAGAATCTAAAACCAGTTGGACACTTACAAAAGCTAAGGTTCCTGCACTCTTGCTAGATCCCCGTTCTGCCTCACTCACAGTCACATTGTCTCATCACTGAACACTGAACAAATCTGGGCAGCATGATGGCTCAGTGGTTAACACTGCTGTCTCACAGCACCAGGGGCCTGGGCTTGATTCGAGCCTTGGGTGATTATCTATATGGAGTTTGCACATTCTCTTTGTGTTTGTGTGGGTTTCCTCCACGTGTTCCAGTTTCCTCTCACTGTCCAAAGATGTGCAGTTTAGCTGCCTTGGCCACGGCAAATTGCCCGTAGTGTCTAGGGATGTGCAGGCTAGGAGAGTTAGCCATGAAAAATGTAGGGTTACGGGGATAGATGGGGTTCTGGGTCTGGGTCTGGGTGGGATGTTCTTCGGAGGTTGGTGCAGACTCGATGGGCCAAATGGCCTCTTTCC